CTGATTCTTATTTGAGTTCTAACCACCCTACACTGTTGGGTGTACTGATGGGGGCTGCTGAGTAAATTGTAACTCGTAGCTGTCCTGTGCCTATTAGAACAAAATGCTGCCGGCACATGTGCTGCCATCATAGGCATTGCTGTTTGAGTTCATTGTTACAGCCAGTGTCAATCCCATCTGTTTGAGGGTTAGCCTACTTTTTTCTGATCCTTTACTTGACCAAATATGATAAAGCATAATGTTGTTCTCCAAGACTACTTCTTCTTGATAAAATATCTCTACATGAAACAAAGTTTTGCTTTCCTTGAGTCTAAGGAGCATTCTGACTGTACTTAAAGATAAATTCGTTTCGACTCCATGATATAGTCAATATCTTTTGTCAATGCATTGTTCTATTGTTACTGCTGCTGTAGCTGTTGTTAGGTGCCTTCAAGTTAACTCTAACTCACAGCAACCCCATATATAAAAGTTCAAAATCCTGCACCATTTGTTATACTCACTGGGTCAGTCCATCTCGTTGAGGGTCTTCTTCTCCTTTGCTGACCTCCTACTTTTTCATGCATGATGTCATCTTCAAATGACTAGACCCTTCTGATAATATGTCCACGTTATGTAAGATGAAGTTTCACCATCCTTTCCTCTGAGAAATACTGGTTGCATGCCTTCTAAAACAGATTTGTTTGTTGTTCTGGCAGTGCATAGTATATTCAATACTCGTCACCAACACCACAATTTAAAGGCATCAATTCTTCTTTGATTAATATTAGAAAATTACCTCAGTTAAAAAGCCATATGCATACAAATATCAAACAGTTGTGTTTTGGTTTTGTTTTGATTTTCAGTTCATGTCTGTGCTTAATTCTCCTCTCTTATTTTCAACTGTTTACATATTTTGTCTGGAGTTCATAATTGTTACACATTTCATTATTACTTCAATCCAAATTATTTCACCATTTTCCTCAAGCAGATTCCAACTCATAGTAATCCTACATGTACTGAAAGTTTTTATTGCAATTTCTATGTTTCCCTAACAAATTTACCACTTGGTGCACTTTCAGTGCAGAGTGGTAGATGTGATAGCTATGCTCATTTGAGAAAAGTTAGTTTTTTTAGACTCATTATCTTTCAGAGGGAGAAAGGCATCATGATCAGTAAAGCAGAACATCAGGGAAAAAGAAAGAAAAAGAGTGAGAGGCATTGACAGAGTGTGTGGACAGAGTGAATGCAACATGGGCTCAAAATCACCTGTTGCCGTAGGGACAGCTCAGAACCTGGTAATGTTTCCTTCTGATGAACATGTTGTTGTTGTGTACTGTTGATTTGGAGCCAACCCATGGCTGATCCTCCAGCCGGTTTTCAGAGGCAATTTAATCACATGAAAGGAGATTGACCATCTTTCTCCCACAAAGCAGCTGGTGGATTTGAACTATGTTCCTTTGGTATTTCAGCACAGCTCCTTAATTGGAACTGATTCTGTGACACTTAACAAAAAATCCTACCTATTGCTTTCTTGCACTTGAGTTAAGTAGGATTCCTAATGAACAAGCCTATGAAACATGATAGAAGTACCTCATGGTATTTCCAAGGATTTGATCTTTATGGAAGCAGACTGCCATGGCTTTCTCCTGTGGAGCTACTGGTGAGTTTGAGTTACCAGCCTTTTAATAGCCAAGCACTTACCCACTGCTTCACTAGGCTCCTTAAAAGAAAAAAAAATTTAAAAAAAGCAAGACCAAACACCCCCTAATGGGTAAAGCACTGGCCTATAAGGTAAGACTGACTTGGTGACCTAGTGATAGACAGAAACTGTGGTATAATCCCACAAGCACATCTTTTGAATCCACCAGATGCTCCACAAGAATAATATGGGCAATTTTCCCTATGATTTACTGCCTCTGAAATCCCTCCAGTCAGCTGTGAGTCGGTCCTGACGCAAGGACACAACTACCAATGTTTTTCACTAGTCACATTTGCCCTCCCAGTTTTTCACTAGTTTTCATAGAGATAAAGAAAAAAATTTCAATTTTTAGAAAATTAATATTTATGATAAATTTGTAAAATTTTGTCGTCAGATATGAAAATAGCTTAAGAAAGGAAAAAATTCCAAGAAAAAGTCACTAATATAAAAGGTTTGTTGTTGTATAGTTGGCTTGTGACGTAAGGACATCTGTGCATTGTCTGTGAAAGGAAAGGCTTCATGAAGGATAAAAATAATATCAAATAAAATATTTGCCCTATGCTTAAAGATTATACCTGTGGAACACTTAGATGTCTTTGTTTATATATAAATGAGGTGATAAAGAAGGCAGACTGCAAGACTTCTGACTGAAACTTTGATATGCTATTTATAAAACAGTCTAATCTTTCAAGTAATGCCTGTGTGTCACAGTTCCCAGAACTCCAAGTGTAGTGGGTTTTCTGTTACAATTCTTTATTAATTGTACACATCCTCCTGGAGCTCGGGTGGTTTTATGGTAAAGTAGTTGCACTGACAACCCAAAGGTACATGTTTCAAACCCATTAGCTGCTCTGCAGAGAAAGATATTCATTCACTCTCCTCCAACGTGGTTTACAGCCTCCAAAAACAACCATAAGTCAGTTCCTAATCGAGGGCACATAACAACAGTTTATAATAGCGACTGGCTCTCATTAAGATAAATTTTAAGCTTTTTTAAAAAATAGATTACTTAATGTTCAAAATAAGGAAAAAAGTGAGAGGACCTTTATTGAACACTCGCTTTCTCGCAGGTCTTTGCCATCTTCCACATATATTCACCAATCCAAGAATCTTCACTGTACCCTAAAGCTGCTGTTGTTACATCCATTTTTCAGAGAGGATACTGATACCTAGAGATTATCACATAGTGTACCAAGGCCACCGAGTTTGTAACTGATGGAACTGAGATTTGAAGCTGCATTTGAGTGATTAAAATTCCCTTGTATTGTTTTAATCCACTATTTCAATTCTAACTTTCTTTCAGATATTCATATTTTATCATTTTTTGACAAATGTATAGTCCAGATATGGGTTATATTCAATTCTCTGGCAAGAAAATTATTTATCCTACTAAGTTTCTCAATTAAAAACCTACTTTATTTAAATATTTTAAGATATTATTTCTTTTAAAAATTATAGGCTTTTCTTTCATTCTCTTTCCCATTATTATTGTGGAGGAAAGATTATCTTCTATTTACTGGAAGAATACCGATCTGGATAGAGTTGTTTCTGTTATTTAGATATTATGTTCATTATGTCTTGTACACAGAGCTCTGATGGTGTAGTCTGTTGAAAGCTGTCCTTGTGACGCAAAAATGGTACCTTTATAGAGGTTTTAACCCATCAGTGAATCCACAGGAGAAAGATGGACAGTTTCCTTCCTTGCTGTATCCTCAAATACCTTCTAACGGGTTAGCTAAGAGTTGGTTTGGACTCGATGGAAATGAGTGAATGATGTCTTAGATTTTTTTCCACCTCAATTTCCCCTATTTTAAAAAATTATTCTTTAATTGAATTTTATATTATAAATTCTGATGGCCTAGTCGGTAAGGAGTTGCACTGACAATCAGAGCCAGGTAGTTTGAAACCACCAGCTGCTCCATGTGAGAAAGACAGACAAGCAATCTCTTCCTGTGCAATTTATAGCCTCTTAAAACACGTTGTCAGGTCAGCTATGAGCTAGTTCCAGCTTGAGGGCAATGAACAAAAATCCCCACCTTTTTATTTCCTTCATTCCTTTAATGCATATTTTAAAAAGTTATTATCTTAATGATTACTTTGGTGATTATACACTCAATGACTTAGTTTGAATAAAAGGATAGTTTCAACAGCAAACCTCCCTTTCCGGATCTGTCCTTCCCTTTATATTGTTACAGATTGCGTATGTTGTGTGTCCATTAACATAGGTTTATATTTTTGTTTTATATTTTATATTAAGGTTGATATATTATTTTTAGGGATTTTTCTTTAGTATTAGAAAAAGGAGGAGTTACAAATATAGCATACAATATTATTATGGAAAGACAAGGAGAGAAGGCGCAAGACTTGGGAGTTCTGAGTATTATAATGTTGTTGTGTACCATTGAGCTGGAACCGACTGATAGATGACCCTTCAGTGGGTTTTCAGAGGCAGTTAATTGCATGGGAGGAAATTGCCCATTTTTCTTCTGACGAGCAGCTGGTAAATTTGAACATGTGCCTTTGGGATTGCATTGTATCTTCTTGGCATTAGGCCACCAGAACTCTCTATTATAATGTGTAAATAAAAAATAAAATAGAATAAATTTTAAAAATATAATACTTTATTCCTCAGGGATTGCTGATTTTTGCTTTTTGAAGATGAGAGTCGTCCATTTGTGACTTTCAAACAATTTTTGCAATATATATATACCTTGTTATGTTTAGTTGCTGACCTTTCTGTTCAGAAGAAATATATTCACTTATTGCCATACAGTTGATTGTATTAGTGACCCTCCATCAGGTTTCCAAGGGAATTCTGGTGGAAAGACATGTGGTTCGAATCTATCAGTTGCTCCAAGCTATGTGTCTGTTCTAATGCAAGAGCACACAACAACAACAATCAGGTTTCCAAGATTGCAATTTTTTTTAAATTTTTCACTATTATTATTAATTTTAATGAAAATTTACAGAGACTTTGGCTTTCCATTCATTCATTGTTGCATTTTCTCCCTGCCCACCCCTCCCCACCCCAGTATACTCTTCCCTTTGAAAGTAAAAGAAAAATTCTTTTATTGTTTTACAATCCCTCCTCCAGGTCCAAGGCTGCAAATCTAAATCGAAGGAACCATCTTTCTCCCTTGGAGCTCCTGGTAATTTCTGAAACATGCAGAGACTCAGTTTTCTGATTAGTAGTGCAGTTGGCACATTATGGACTACACCATCAGAGCTCAATACATTGCTTACTGCTATTTCTTATTATTCAGTATGCTCCAACATAAAGATACATGTCAGCTAATAACCTCTTACTAATGTTATTTTGCAGAAGGAGAACTTGAAGCAGAATGGTTGCAAGATGTGGGTTTATCAACCCTGATCTCAGGTGATGAAGAGGAGGATGGAAAGGCCTTGCTGTCTACATTGACACGAACCCAAGCTGCTGCAGTCAAAAAGAGATATAATACCTATACACAGACCATGAGGAAAAAGAATAAGCAGGCTGTCAGGGATGTCAGGGACATCTTTGGAGTCAGTGAAGCCTCTGTAAGTAATGAACATGACCTAATAGGTGTTTTGGTTTGATTTTGTAAAGAGGAAGGGAGATTTGGGGGATTATGGAAGGATAGAAAACATCAGTAAAGGCTTGTCAGGTTCTTGCACTTTCAGCTAAAACTAAAGCAGGCAGCAGCATGCATAATTTCTTATTTTGGTCATTTCTTATCTCTCATACTCCAGGCTTACATAAACATTACATCCTTTCTTGGATGAAGTTGGAAAATAATTTCTTTAGCAATGGAACACATTTTTTTTTAATTTTACTAATTTATTTACAACATTCAAATGCATTGTTTTCCAAACCAGATTCTAACAATTTCCCTCACGACCACCACCCATCAAATTATACAACCCCATGGTTAATCCCCCACCCCAGCAAATCCTCATCCCTCTGCTTCCATCCTCCCTCCTCCCGGCATGGACTCTCGTACTCATCCTACAATAATAGTTTTATACAATATTTGTCCTTGTGGGACTGAGTTAGTTTACTCATCATAATGCTCTCCAGTCCCTCCCAAGTTAGGTAATAATTTACAAAATCATTGCTCCTGCGTGCTGTGTGGTATTCCATTGTGTAACTGTATCATAATTTCTCAATTTATTCATTTGTGGTTGGACATGTGGCTGTTCTGTGTGGGATGGATACACAGAGCTCTGTGGTAGAAACTCTGGTCGAGCAGACTAGTCCCTGGGAACCAAATCTGTGTATTATAAACAAGTACAAGCATTTTTTTCCTAAGTGAGGTCAGGTATTAGAATAAGTAGGGAATAGTTTCGTTTTGAAAGAATATTGAATATACCATGGACTGCTAGGAGATAAAACAGGTTTGTCCTGGAGAGGGTGAAATCAAGCTGCTCCTTGGAGGCAAGGATTCTGAAGCTTTGTTTGACATACTTGGAGGATGTTGCAAGGCAGGACCAGTCATGGGAGAGAGACATCATACTTTGGAGGGTGGAGGGACAATATAAGAAAGGAAGGCCCTCCATGAGATGAATTGGCTCAGTGACTGGGATAATGAGGCTAGGTGTATCAGAGACAATAAGGTTGGCTCAAGATAGAGCAGAGTTCAGAGCTGCTGTACACAGGATCACTATGAGTCACAAACTACTTGGTAGCCCAAAAGCAATAAACTAAAGTGGTAAAAATACAAGATACCACCATTTAGTGGGAAAGAGACTAAGGGAAGCATCAAATGATCCATAAAAAATGACTGGTTGAAATTCCAGCTTACCCTGAACACTTCCATGATTCTGGTTGCTTCTGAGGCATTTAGTCATATCTTCTTCTGTTTCCTTGGTTTTATTTCTAACCATTTTCTGTCACAGCAACTTCCTGAGTGTCTGAAGTATATTCTATAGGGTTTTCAGGACTTGGTTTTTCAGAAATACATCCTTTCTTCTAAAGTGCTGCTAGGTGAACTTCAACTTTGGATACTGGAAAGCACTTTAACTGTTTGTGCCACATAGAGACTATTGCATTACTGATCCATCCTCCTTACAGTCAACTTCTTACAAATACATTCATTGATAAAAGGAATATTGGATACATTTGTATGTAAGCTACTGACTACACCAGTTTCAGTGCAGATGTTGTTGTTATTGTTATGATGTGTCTTTGAGTAGACAGCAACTCATAGTGATGCTATGAACAGTAGATCTGAAATTTACTCTATCCTGCACCAACCTCATTATCTCTGACAGACAATTGCTACATTCACCATGTCACTCAATCTTGTGAACCTTCTTCTCCTAACAATGACCCTCCAACTTTCAAACATGTCCTTCTTCAAGAACTGACCCCTCCAAATGAGATACTATCCTTGCCTCCAAGGAGTACTCTAGTTTCACTTTGTCCAAGACAACCCATGGTGCTTTTGAGTTGACGTATTGGAGAAGACTGTTGAATACACTATAGACTACCAGAGAACAAATAGATTTGTTTTGGAGAAAGTGCAACCAGAATGTAAATTGCAGGCAAAGACGGTGAAGCTTTGCCTCACATATTTTGGACATATTATTAGGAAAGGAATGACATCATTCTTGGAGGGTCAGAGAAAGAGAGAAAGAACCTCAAGGAGATGGATTGCTACAATCTCTGTGGCAATGGACTCATATGTGTTGAGGATAATAAGGATGGCACAAAGTAGGATCTGGAGGTCTCTACCCTCCACTGCCACATGGAGTCCACCCCACAGCTACAACCATCTCCACCATGCCAGGAGCACTTAGATCACAGGGACTGAAGAGGAAAAAGGAGAGAAGTGGAGGCCTGAGTCATCAAACCTGAATTGGCTGGGGGCAGAGCATGAGAGGTGCTGAAGGGCAAGGTAAGGAAACTTAGCTGGCTGTTGGCAGGGCGTGGTGAAGGTGGAAATACAATCCATGTGTCTCAGAGGTGGGTCCTGGGAACAATATCTGATCTGTTACCTGCATACTTTTATTAGCTCTTTTGGGTAAAATGCTTGTCTGTCAAATATTACTCTAAAGCTGAACATCTAAATTAAGACAGACTATGCATCAGATAGCTGGACAATGAGTTGTGGTGCTAGAGAAGAGTACTAAACATAATCTGAACTGTGAAGAGAACAAACAAGTCTGTCCTGGTAAGGGTGAAACCAAGTTGCTCTCTGGAGGCAAGGATTTTGAAGCTCTGTATCACATACTTTGGGCATGTTGCCAGGAGGGACCAGTCTCTGGAGAAGGACATCATGTTTGGAAGGGTGAATGGATAACACATAAGAGGAAAACCCTGAATGAGATGGATTGAAACAATGCCTGGAGAAATAGAAGCAGGTGTGTTGGAGACACTGAGATCTGCTCAAGATAAGATAGGGTTCAGAGGTATTATACATAAGGTCGCTATGAGTCTCAGGCAACTCAACAGCACATAACAACAACAGCAAGGGAAAAGCATTGGCTATCCACTTCCAAAATAACAAGCCTTGAAAACCCTATGTCTTTCGGTGCTGCATAATATTCCATTGTGTGAATATACCACAGCTTCTCTATCTACTCATTTGTTGTTGGGTACTTGAGTTGTTTCCAACTCTTTTGCTATTGTGAACAACACAGCAATAAACATGAATGTGCATATATCTGCTTGGGTAGCAGTTTTGGTTTTTTTAGAGTATATTCCCAGTAGTGGAATTACTGGGTCAAATGGTATTTCTGTTTCCAACTTTTTGAGAAAGTGCCATAATGCCTTCCATAGTGGTTGCACCATTTTACACTTCCATCAAGAGTGAATAAGGGTTCCAGTCTCTGCACAACCTCACCAACATTTTTTGTTTGCTGCTCTTAAATTTTGCTATTCTTACTAGTGTGAGATGATATCTCATAGTCGTTTGATTTGCATCTCTCTTAAACCTAGGGATTTTGAACATTTCTTCATGTGTTTTTTCACCACCTGAATGTCTTCTTTGGTGAAGTGTCTGTTCATATCCTGTGCCCATTTTTCAATTGGGGTGTTTACCTTTATCTTGTTGTGGCACCCAAGTATTTTCTATTCTAGATATAAGTCTCTTATCAGAAATGTCATTGCCAAATACTTTTCCCCTGTCCATGGCTTCGCTTTATACCCTGTGGAGAAGTTTTTAGATGTGGATAGGGATTTTCTTCTTAGAAGGTCACATTCATCTATATTATACTCTCCTGGTTGTAGGTTTTTCAGAATTATTGGAAGACTGTTCAAGTTGTAGATTAGTGTTTCTAGGGTTCTTCCTAGCTTTTCTGTAAAGAAATGTATAGTCCTTGTTTTTAGTACTAGGTTATTGAGTTGCTTTTTTGTGTATGGTGTGAGGTATGAGTCTTGAGTTTTCTGCAGATGGTTTTCCAATTTTGCCAACACCATTTGTTAAAACGGCCGTCCTTTCCTCACTTAACTGATTTAATCTTCAACTGATTTCGTAAGTTAAGTGATTTCACATTCTTGTCAAAAATCAGTTGGCAATAGGTAGATGGGTTGATTTCTGGGTTCTCAATTCTATTTCATTGATCCATATGTCTGTCATTGTACCAGTACCAAGCTGTCTTGACCACCAGGGCAGTATAGTAGGATTTGAAATAAAGAAGTAAGATGACTCCTACCTTGTTCCTCTTTTTAAGGAGTGCTTTGCTTATTCGGGGCTTTTTTCCATTCCATATTAAATTGGAGATTGCCTTTTCCATCTCATCGAAGAATGGAATTGGTATTTGTATTGGGATTGCATTGAACGTGTAAATTGCCTTTGGTAGTATTGTCATTTTCACAACATTGAGTCTTCCTGTCCTTGAACAAGGGATATTCCTCCATTTCTCCAGGTCTCTATTTGTCTTGTAGTAATGTTTTGTAATTTTTTAAATAAGTCTGTTGTGTTTCTAGTTAGATTTACTGTCAAGTATTTAATCTTGTGATTAGCTATTGTGATTGGTATTGTTTTTCTTAGCTCCAGTTTTATATTCTCTTTGTCACTATAGAGAAATCCAATTTATTTTTGTATGTTGATTTTATATCCTGCCACTTTCTTGAATTGGTCAACTATGTCCAGTAGTTTTCTTGATAAATCTTTAGGGTTTTGTAACTATACTATCATATCTTCTGTATGCTGTTGTTGTTATGTGCTGTCGAGTCACCTGCGACTCATAACGACCCTATGGAAAACAGCCCTAAACTCTGCTCAGTCCTGTGCCAGTCTCATTGTCTCTGACGCACTCCCATTACTCCAGTTATTGAATCAATCCACCTCATAAAGACTCTTCCTCTCCTACGTTGTCTCTCCACCCTCCCAAGCATGACATCCTTCTCCAAGGACTGGTCCCTCCTTACAACATATTCAAAGTATGTTAAATGAAGCTTCAGAATCCTTGCCTCCAAAGAGCAGCCTGGCTTAACCCTCTTCAGGATGAACCTATTCATTTTCTTAGCAGTCCATGGTATAATCATGGTATAATGTCCAGCACCACAGCTCAAAGGCATCAATTCTCCTTCTGTCCTCCCTCATCATTGTCCA